ACCTATTTTTTTTTTCAAATTGGATCAAATTTGGACCCGAAATTACCCCAATTACCATATTACCCTACAACAAATATCAATATTCATAAAAATATAAGAACATATCTTAAAAGATGTCTTCTTTAATAAAAGCAGGAAATATAAGGTTGTTTGATTTAAAAAAAAAATAACCGACCTTGTTTTTGCAGTTTATCGTTCAATTTTTATTCTGTGCAAAATGAAAAAATGAATCAAGAACAAATTAAGACAACAATCTTCCTCTATACTGAAAGTGTACAAACTTCATCAGCTACAGCCAAGATTTTAACATCTTTATACTAAAATAATTTCTGTAGTCCTTGTTTGGACATTTAATGATGAATTCGCCATCAGCACCAATCCATTAAAGCTGAGAGAAGAGCTGAGCAGCGCTGTCAACATTTGCCGGTTCCTTTGGTGGCTCTTTAGGAACCTAAAAAGGAACAAAACATATTTTGTTATCTGTGTCATAAGATTAAAAGTATCTACATCATTAAATGTCCACAGCTTCTCCCCTACCTGTGTTTGTTTCTTTGTTTGAGGAGCAACAGCCTTTGAAATGCTTTGCACATCCCTCTGGATCTCTGTAAATATCTGGTTTAGGTTCTCCACCTTCTCGTTTTTCACTGCATTGATCTGTCAAAACACAACAGATGCTGAATCAGGTGTAAAATATACACTTAATTCAATATAAAATATGTGGAGAGGGGTTTATATGTGTGGATAACTGAAGGAGGAAACAAAATAAGACCTCACGTTTTTCAGAGCCGTTGTGACAGGTTTCGCTTTCTTCTTCATCCTCAGATGCCTGTTTGCCACTTCGAAGACGTTCTGCTGTTTTTTTCCTTTCTGTTTGTTCTTCCCCATATTACCTAAGGGAGATGGAAAAATGTCACCAGAGAAATGTTAAAAAAAAAAAAAAAAAAGAAAAGAAAAAAAAACACATTTTGTCTCAACAAAAGTCTTTTTAGTGCTGATAGGAGTAAAAAAATAAAATACAAAAAGATTTTTCCCACTCTTAGATAGTAAGCATTAGGGATGCACAACTTAATCGGCATGTTATCTCAGTACCAGTCGGTACTAGCTTTAAAACTAAATATTTAACCTCACCAATATAAATAAAATGCACTGTTTTTGTGACAAACAAGTGTGAACTATATCTCCAGCCTCGGAGAGTACGGTAGGTAAAAAACCTCTCTGCATCTTTGCATTATTCTAGTAGTGTACTCCTGCAGCTAAACAGTGTTATTTTGTCCCCAATCCTTTCTGTGGTGAGATCTGCAAGGCTGGATTGTTCATTTAATCAGAATAACTAGCTGTAAATCTAAAACTGTTTATCTAGTCATAACCTCCCTGGTTTGTCCACTAAAAAGACTCAAAGAGCACAGTGACCAGCCACAAACCCGTACGTTAAGCACTGCAAATCTCCCTTGCTTTAGTTAAGATAGTGTTCATGGATCAACAGCATAAGGGGCTGGGGGAAAAAGAGCATAGTCTGACGACATGTAAAAACAATATAAAAACTTACCAGATATTATCACTATGCTGTATTTTCAGAATGTGATGTTGGTCACTTAACTGTAACTATTGCCATTCACAATATTTTGCAGCTTAACCGCCTCTTTGATCACTTATAATGCAACGTACCAAGCAAAAATAATACAATGTGAAATTGTTTTGTTGAACATAATTAATATTTCTTGCGCAGAGTAATGAAAAGGAAATAGTAAATGACAAGATGGCAGCTCTTCGGATAAATTATGTAATATATATCTTGTCTGAAATACTAGTATGTTTGCTGTCATATTCAATTGACATTTATTACTGAGTCAATATCTTATAAACAACAGATAAGCTTCTCAGTAGTTTGATAATTCAGACGATTCTTTAGAACGATTTTGTTTCCCTGCTTAGAGTGCTTGTTCATCTGGAAGATCCCATATTTTAATATGTTGAATGATGCTGCCACTTCTGTACTTTACAGTGGGCAGATTTTTTCAGGGTTGCAGGCTTCCCCTTTACCACCGAATGCTGAAATGGTTACGACCAATGAAAGCTCTGGATTTAGTTTCTGCAAACCCCTGGACACATTGGTAATTGAGCTTTAACACCTTCTCTGAAAGGACTTTAAGCCAATTGATGGGCAAGATCGGTTTCATTTGCAGACAGGAGATGCATTGGCTGGTCCACCTGGAGCTAAACCTGCTAAAAATGGATGATTTTCAGACATTCCTGTCCAGAACTGCCTCACCTCAGTATCCTGAACAAAACTGCTTTAACTGAACCCCTTCCTGTTCATACAGCAGTCATTCAAGAATAGCAACCTTCCACATATTTTACCCTGGCTTCATTCTGTCTGGGTTGAGCACATCTATCACAGTGTGGTTGAGCCATGAAACAGGACAGATTCAAACTATAAGAGTTAGGCCTGCAGAGAGACTGATCAAGGCTGACCTCCATCCATGACAGGCCAGAAAAGGGTCTTAATGCATCCTGGTCAGAAGCTGTCTGAACCTCTGCCCTTCAGGTTCACACAACACAGAACAAATAAACTTCTGACTTTAAAGAGAGTGTTAAAATATGCAAATAACTTAAAGCTTTGTTTAATTCAATCAGACTTATTAATGGGATACAAAAAATAAATAAATAAATCAGCTTCTCTAATATTTGGATTTAATAACCCAATACTCATTTTTTTTTCATTAGGTGTTGAAAAACATCCGCAGAATATTTCACTGTAGCCTGAAATTAGTGATTTAATGATAAAATAACATGATACAAATGTCTTAAAAGCTCTATTGAATTATGCTGAACCGCTTGTTTGTTGTTGATGTTTTATTTTGTGTTAAGCAGCATTGATAAAAGGACCAGCTCACATTCTTTAGGAAATATTGTTTCCTCCAATGTTGTTATTAAGGATAACTACATGCTCCTCCAGAATAAAAAAATCTAAAACTTTTAAACCGTACCCTTTAACAGATAAGGAACTCGTCAGCTGTCCGGTGTTAATCTGGTAAACAAACACGATATGACGACAGGCTCTATAGACAGAAGCTAACAGAACACGTAATAAACAGAAGCCTAAAGTAACGCTGTAAATAATCCAATAAACACATCAAATAAAAGCCCACTTACGTTATTTCTGGAGTGATGTTTGTGAATTCATGCGCTACAAACGTGCCATGCCTGTCACGTCAATTGCATGCGACGACTAGAAGATTTTACTTCCGGTGATAACAAAGCCCGTACAGGAGCCGCCATCTTTGTCAGGGCAAAACTTTTGTCTCCGACTTGACTCATACAGTGGTATACTGTATATATATATATATATATATATATAGTTTTGTGGTTTTTGTGCATCAAGAGCAGGTAGGGCAGTCAATGTTCTCCAGCAATGGAGCGTTAAGGCCGGTTTGGTATTGGTGCAACATAAAAAAAACTCTGTTGAAAACAGAATTGAGGTCAAAATTGACCTATGGTTTCAAATTTGTGATTCCAATTCAACATATCGTGCTGTTCCATTTTATTTCTATCTAAGACGTGGCTGTCTTGTTAAACTGACAGTGCTTGCAAGGAGACAATTAATCTCTCTTTATTTTATGCTTTTGTTTTCCTGTGAAATATTTGATTCTTATATATAGATTTTCTTTAGGTGAAGGTTCACCTTGCACATGGCAATTACCCCAAACTAACAGCTACTGATTGAATGAAATGGTTTAAATAAATGCATACATATGTTACAATGTACCAGGTTAATAACAGGTTATCATCTAATTTATAAAATATTTAAAATCAAGAGGGATGCTCTTAGATGAGTTTGATCTTTCTAAGTATGCTAAGTATGTAAAAAAAAAAATAATGATCTGCATATCCCCAGCAGGTATAAACACACAAAAGAAAATACTACAAGCTATAGATGCAGGTGGTTCCACTAAGAAAGAAATATAAATAGATTGATCTCACAATGGAGAAATTAACTCTCTGCATTTAAACCATTGCTTTGGAGAGCAGTGGACTGCCACTGTGCAGCACCCGGGGAGCAGTTTGGAGTTAAGGATGTTGCTCAGAAACCCAGAGTGGAGGCTGTGGGGATCAAACCGGATACTTGCAACCTTCTCAGAGCATTTAAATGCACTAAAAAAAGAAAATCCCACTCACTCTTAAGATTTTTAATTGTGTAAACTATTCCAAAAGCTATTTTGCGTCGAATTCAGAATGATAGAGTAGTTTGTTTTGGTCTATGACATCCAATGTCAATAAAATACATTTGATTTGGTGGCTATAGTTACCCAAACTAAAGACTGCATCTGCCATCTGCTGCACCACCAGTAGATAGAGCCATTATAACACAACGTTCATCCTCCCAGCAGCCTACAGAACCTTAACAAAACAAGGCGATTCTCTCCTCTGTATCTCATGCTGCACTGAGCGGTAGTTCCCACTGGGTTACAAATAATAATCCAGTCTGAGAAAATTTAAATGAAGCTGAATATTAAAAAGTAATTATCCATTAGAGAATTAATATTTTATCCAAAGTGTTTTTACTGTGTTGTCACTCTATTACGGGGCCAATAATAAAGTTTTAAAATGTATGGAATGAGATATATGATTTCTTTCAAAATGTATAATATATTACAACTGTATTATTTAATGATTTGAATGTTTAAAACATAAGATAATTGATTAAATTCAACGTGAACGCATAGTTCCCAATATGACATATTATTTATTTAACTGGTTTTGTTTGTCTTCTTTTTTTTTTTTTTAAGGTATAATTTAGGTCTGTGTGCACCACCATCCCGCGCTGCGTCACATAATGGCGTAATACCGCGCATAATCGGGTATAGATGAAGAACAAGATCAATCTGCATATATCTCTAACATTAATTGAGGAATTAGGGGCATTGCATTGACCCGTAGCGTCGCATCTGCGCATCTTAACTCCTCCCGTGGTCACTGTACGCGGACATTTGGCCAAAGGCAGCCTGAGACGCGCTGCGCACAGGCTGCTATATAAACCGTGCGGCTGTCAGGTGGGGGACACTGGCAGCTCTGCACTACTCTGCTCTGCTCTGCGCTGGGAGATTACAGCTCTGCAGATTACATTACAATGTCTCACGCCTGGGGATACGCAGCGAGTAACGGTGAGGCGCTCTTTGTCTAATGCATTAGTGAAAATAATATTAATCATTAAATTGCACTGAATAAATAAAAGCATTAAAGCGCATCCATAATATTCATAATAGGAGTATTTTTACGCGTTTGTAGATTTTTACGCACGATCACCAAAATGCAGATTATGTGTGCAAAAACTCGATCTTGAAATAAATCTGATGATTATATATATTTTTTTTATTATGCATGATATTCAGGACCCGACAAATGGGCCGACAGCTTCCCAATCGCGAACGGACCCCGTCAGTCTCCCATCGACATCGTTCCTGGCGAAGCATCCTACGACTCGAAGCTGAAGCCGCTCGTCCTGAAGTACGACCCGTCCACCTGCCAGGAGATCCTCAACAACGGCCATTCCTTCCAAGTGACCTTCGTAGACGACTCCGACAGCTCCAGTTAGTATCCAAAGAATAATGCATGACATTTCATTTATTCAGCGCGGCCCCAGTTAAGATCTGCATGTCTGGGCCTAATTTATATTCATTAAATCGGTTCAGTTTTGATGATTTATGCAGTTTCAATTCACAAGGTCGTCCCAAGATGCTTTCCAAAACAAGCTGGTGCATTTTAAATCCAGTAATATGAAATGATCCCAGATCAATCCGATCCAAAACAAAATTATAATACAAAAGATAAAGATGAGATAGATAGAAGGCACATAGCTCTTTGTTTGGTTCTATTTAGATTTTGGTCCTTCCAGCATTTTAATGCTTTTAATGCAGGATTTATAAAGACTGATTCCTTCACTGGGTTTTGTTTAACAATTCATAAACATTTTTAAGATTTTTGTTTTGTTTCTTTTATCAAAGCGATATATCTTACAGCACATAGATTTAAAATAATTTCTGATGCTATGAATCCATGGTTTTCTAATGAAAGCCAGTCTAAATTGATCCTATGCCACATGGCAGAAATTCAATAAAAGAAAAAAAAAACGGATCCATATTTGAATATCTATCATAACCCAACTTTATGCACACTTTCAAAATAGTTTTTCTATTTGATGTTTAATAATGTTGTATTTTGGTTTATTGGCTCATATGTTCTAGTTGTAAAGCTGCTTTTTAAACTTTTTTTTTTCTTTTTTTACCATTATTTCTTGAATTTGTAACAGCATTGAGGGTCCATGTAGCCACCCTGGACTTAAATTTAATTAAATACTGTAGCTATTCTTGTAAGTATCAAATGTGCAGAGGTCTTAGAAATATGAAAATTTCAAATTTAGAAGCTTGCAGTTTTTCTTTTGTGGTTTTAAACAAATGGATATGCTGATTATGTAAATTTTAATGTATCCAGGCCAGGGTTTTCATCCATGATAAACTGATCTTGCTGATTTTATTATTATTATTATTGTTATTTTGTCTTAAAACATGCCTTATTGTGAGATTTTGCTGTTATTGACATGCAGTTGAAAATAACGCAGAAAGGTTTTAACCCCCATCCACATTGGAAATGCAGCCCTTGGTAACCGTTTCCCACAGCAACTCTTCATGCAGGAGCGAGGTCAAACGCGCAAAAGTGAAAAAGAAGTGGGGGATGGGTGGGTGTTGTTCTGCACAAAGAACCTTTTCTAAGGTCGCTCTGTTCTCTTAAACTTTAACAGGCGTGCAACTTTATCCTATGGACTAATGCACGTATTTTAACATTACATTAGAAATGAATTCCTGTGTTGTTTAGCCTGAACGGTTTATCTCCTGTTATCTAATAGAGGAAGCCACTTGCTTATTTCTAACCCTTTCTTCTTTAAAAGAGGTATCCGCTTTTCTGCAGGATATGGTCATGCATCACATAGGATCTGTGGAAAGCATGAATGCATCTGCTTTATATATTCATTTGTTAAACAAATAGTCACTAATGTGAAATGTTTTTGTGTGTCTCAGTTATTTCCACCGCTTTGTATTGTCAGACTAAATATAGATTATGGAAGGAAGGTAGCAACAATCGGATTGTATTTTTGGGGTTTAGTTTGCTGTGTTCTTACACAACAGCCACTGAGGCTGTTTCATCAGGTTGGGTGTGTGTATCTTATCTTGTTGAAGTTTCTCTATTTATTCTTTGTTTGAGGATGTATGTCCTTTAGAATGTTCCTTTTGTCTCACGTCCCAAAAGAAGAAATATTCAAACCGTCAGTTTCTGACTCATGCTGAGCTGACTGAAGAGTGTTCCATTTTTTTTTTTTCCTTTTCACAGCTCTGAAAGATGGACCAATCTCAGGGACCTACAGGCTGAAGCAGTTTCATTTTCACTGGGGGGCTTCAGATGACAAGGGATCTGAACACACTGTGGCCGGGACCAAATACCCAGCTGAAGTAAGGATGCTTATTTTTAGGGATATGATCAATGAAAGATTGAAGCTAAAATAAGCCCCATTTACACTACCTTCTGAAAACTGATCTGTGCTGAGTTCGGACTGAGCTTGGATCCTTACAACCGTTTACACATTGCGCTAGCACGGTTCCTGCCTCCTAGTGGCGATCTACGGTACTACTGCTCTCTAGTAGGGAAACTTTGTGATTATGTTTTGTTCCATCCAAAATCGCCTGGATAGCGTCCTCCGCTCATATTGCAGTAAGAGCCCCAGTCTCAGAAGATTTTGATTGTTGTTTACAGTTCGTCTTCTGTTTTGTGGAGGTTAGCCAGCAACATATGATGTGCATTAACGCCATCTACTGGAGGCTGACTGTTAATAGGAGATGATGTGGTCTGCTCATGCACTCTTTGATATCAGCAACAACTGAACCACACCGAGCCATACTGTTGAACTAGTACTAGTTTAGCGTGGTTTAATTGTGCCTGACATGGTCCAGTTCATTTTGTGTTCCATTTGCACTCAAAGGTTATCTCGGTTACTGTGCTCGGATGGTTCTCGGCACGGTTACAAAGGCTAGTGTAAATGGGGCTATAGAGGGATAATTAAAGGTTTTGGAAGTTAGCCTCTTTTAAGGGTTCTCAGTAAATGTAAGCAAAAATATAAGCAATATCTTACTTACAGTTACAAAGTATTTGTTAGGTATAAATTCAGATTAGTTGTTCCTGGAGGCAAAGCTTAAAGCTAGTATAAAAGAGCCAAGAGCAAATATGACTTCTACTGTCTTTAAAAAGTTTTTAACTCAAGACATCAATTCAATTCAGTTTATTTATATAGCACCACATTCACAACACATGTCATCTCAAGGCACTTTACAGTTCAACCAGATCATACAGTCAACATCACACAGGCTGTTTTATACATCTTTAAAAAAAGCCAAGAAACAAATGAAAGGAAATGCTGTAACATCAGCAATCTTCCTGTGTGAAACTTGAAGTATGTTTATATCAGACACTGGGGAGAGTAACATGCTCTCTTTTAAGTTCATGTTCCGCACAGGAAGATCCTTAGACACCTCCAACCTCTGTTTCCTGTGTAATTAATAAACAGTATCTGCAATGAATAGTTTGCCTATGCAAGCCTGATGACAGTTTAAAGGTTCACGAAATAGTTTATTGTGTATTTGCATTAGGTTTTTTTGGATTGACATTTTAGATTGTTGCAATTAGTGCATGGAAACCGATTCTGGATGCCATCATTAGAATGCTACTTTTACAACAGTGAGATTTAATTGAAATGGAAATACTAATATTTCAGCAAAAAGCTCAGAAGAATTTCCAAAAAGACCAACATGATAAAAATAAGAAAACAATTTCATTACAATATGATCCAGTGGGAAATTGGTCCAATGTGGTCAAATTCATTTACCATCGAAGATAGCTCTATCCGGTCCTGTTAAGGTCTTTTTTTTCCTCCAAAAGAAATTGTTCATTTTTTTTTAATACAAGCAAACAGTCTAAACACAATTTCATTTATTCTTGGGTACAGAAATCAGATTAAAATTTGGTTTTTAGGATTTGTACATCAACCTTTATGATGTACCCTCTTATATTACTTCCAGCTCCACCTGGTGCACTGGAACACCAAATATCCAAGCTTTGGGGAAGCTGCAAGTCAGCCTGATGGGCTTGCTGTTGTTGGAGTCTTCTTAAAGGTGAGCAGTTGTCTGTTCGAGTCATTTAATATAACCTCAGCCCCTCAAATATATTTTCACTGGTAATATAAATAATTTTTGTTTTTCAGATTGGTGCTGAAAATGCAAATCTCCAGAAACTTATTGATGCATTTGACTCAATCAAGACCAAAGTATGTTTCTATAGAAATATTTTTGTGTATGTTCTGTGTCAATAAATAAAAAAATGTAAGACCCTGTCTTTCATGCACTTTTAGGGAAAGCAAAGTTCCTTTGCTAACTTCAACCCTGCAACATTGCTACCTGGCTGCCTAGACTACTGGACTTATGATGGCTCTCTAACCACGCCCCCTCTCCTGGAAAGCGTTACCTGGATAGTCTGCAAAGAGCCAATCAGCGTCAGCTCTGCACAGGTAGGTCTACTTAGAAAGCCCATTCATTGCAGGGAGATTGGCTGTGTTCCCACACTACAGCAGGCTTGTGTTCAAATTCTGTCCTTTTTTGTTTTGAATCAAGGACCCAATTGTTTGAGGTAAGAGCATGCCGTAATATAGAAGAAGAAACCTTTTGTAGAGAGAGGAAAGGCAATACAGTCCCACCATTTTACCTTCATATGAGAAAGAAGTGAAACTGCTAACAGAGAGAAAAAGGGCAACTGAGAGTTCATGCAGACTCTACTGGCTTACCACAATGTGTTATGAGTACACGGAGAGTTAGCAGGAAATATTCAACCCACACAGTACATCAAAGTCTGACACTGAGGTAACTTAGAGTCAGCAGAATTCTGTAGCTTTTAGCATAAATATATATTGCGTTTTTGTTTATGCATAGAAAAACCCAAAGCACTGCCGTTAGAGCCGTCATTTGACTCGGCTGGATTGGTTTGTCATTGTTGCCAAATTCTTTTGGGCATGTGAAAAATAACACTGCATACACAAATTCTCTGTCCTGCTTTTTAGTGGGTTTATCAAGAGTGAATACATCAAAGGTTAAGATAACCTTTAAACATAGTGCCCTTTCAGGCCTGGCTCATTAGTTACAGGCAAACAAGTAATTACCTATCATTTATCTATCAGCTAATTTACAAGCTATTTTGATCCATCATCCACATTATTTGTCCAAAGCTGTAAAACATGATTAGCTGACCATTTACACCCTCCTCAGTTTTTGGAGGCTTTCCTAAGGGCTGTAAATTATTAACTCATTATCCAGCTTTAATGGAAAATCCTCTAAATAGGTCATCTGACACAATCATGTGGCAACTGATTAGCTAGATTTTAGCTGCTTTGCTTGAACAAAAATCGCTCAATACCTTAGGAAACTGCAGTTTGTAAGATATATTGGCACTTCTTTACAGTAATAATAAAGATGCTGTAGCTAGCATCTAATTAAGCTAAATCTTCTAGATTTTTTTTGTGATGTTTGAAAGTTGATCTAACATTCACATTCTTGTTTGTTTTTGTTTTGTTTTTGTTGGGTTTGGTTTAATAAGTTAGCAAACATCATTTAACATTGATATTCTAATTAGGCTTAGAAAGCAAGGGGGCTAACCACTAACCTGAAGTTAGCATTCGAGGAGGAGGGGATTTAATTGAAAAGATTTAGTGTTATTATCATTATTGCACTTTGCTTTAATGTGAGTTCAGCTTTCTACTGACAGTAAACTACATTAGGAAAAAAAAATGAGGCCAACTGCATATCTAGTAAACAGCTCCGTATAGGGGTCGTTTCCAAATTATTTCCTACCCATATGGAAACATGGTTTGGCCAGCTAACAGTCTGCATTTGGCTCATTTGCCATTTGGCAAAATAGCCTGGTCTGACGCCCCGCTAGAAGCTGTCTGACCTCCACCCCCAACTTTGTGAGTCTTGTTGACGCCTTCGCTCTTTGTTTGCATCATTGATGTCATCAGTATGACAGAAATCAGGAAAGTAAACAATGGAGGGCAATAGGGAAGGGAGACAGGGCATAATCAGTGTGCTTTATTGTTTGTCTCTTTTGTTCATCCGAACCTCTTTCACCAGTGCAGTTCCATGTTTATCGAATGCAAGCAGAGTTTTGGCCTGTTAGATCAGACACGACGGACATGATGTTGTGACGCACATATGTTGCACCTGAGGGTATCACGTAAATTAGACAGTGGAAACAGGTCTGCTGTTCCCGCTAAAGACGTTTTAACCCTGGATTGCTCGCTGAGTCGTTTGATGCGGGTCAGTGAGTTGTTCCCAAAAGCTGAATGTTTGCAGGTTTAAACAGTTTTTTTTTTTTTTTGGACTGTGGGCAAGGGGTGTAATTTATATTCCTTTGTTTTTGTTTTCCTTTGATGATAATATAGAAGATTTGTTATTTGTGTGACTGGGTTTTAAGATAAACTTGCAAGCTAACGGTTAAACTCAACAGAGCATAAAAAGATGAAGAGTACTTCAATTTATCCACTTAAACCCGGCCTTTTCCCACATCACTTGTTGACTTAACTTCAAAACACTGCCCAAGTCAACAGTTTACAGTGTATCTGGATTATAATCAGTGAAGGTATGCTTTTGTTCTATCAAAACCACAGAAGGACTGCATTGACTACTTGCCTCTTCTCTCTGTTTCACAGATGGGCAAATTCCGCAGCCTTCTCTTCTCTGCTGAGGGTGAATCTGAATGCTGCATGGTGGACAACTACCGCCCTCCCCAGCCCCTCAAGGGTCGCCCTGTCCGTGCTTCCTTCAAGTAGTTGCCATCCCCCTCTTTTACCCTTTTACCCTACTTGCCCTTTATCCATCCTATCCCTGCTTTCATAAGTACCTATTTTGCAGTAAACCCTAGAAAGAACACATATCTTTTTCCGTCCAGTTTTAAAGCTTGAATTCCAGTAACACCATTGCATCCAGGAGGAAACACTGAATCCACAAATTTCTTGTATGTAAGGGATGTAAGGAAATGGGATTTACATTTATTTTATGTAATATACCAGCAAGCAAGGCCTGTTATATTTCATTTCTTACAAACAAACTCTTCATAGTGGCTGAAATAATTTCACCAGAATGGTGCTCTGGAACTATCAGGAGGCACAAGCTGTATAGCTCCAGTATGGGAGATGATAATGCCATATCACCATCTGTGAGGGGGGTGGGGGGTAAGGTGCCAAAGTGAACAAACCAACATGTAGGACAATCCGGCTGTCAATCTTGCTGTAATCTCTGACTGCCTTGCCGTCCTCCACAGCACAGCAGCTTACTGAAATGATGTAACCTCCTCCTTTGCAAGTGATTGACGTAGAAAATCCCCCTCTGGCTCACAGACACACACACCATCACACGTGCAGTCCCATGCAAACATGCTGCCTGAAGGCAATGACCTCCTTATTGACACAAATCGTACGGCAGTATACGGCATAAGGGCTGAAAGTTGCACGACAATAGCTAAAAACTTTTTACATCCTGTCTTTTTTATTTTTATGATGGATTGTCTCTTAGATCCTCCCAGTTCATGCATATTAGGCCTTAAGCAATTCCTAAATAATGCATTATGACAAAAAAAAGCTTTTTTCTCAAACCCATATATAGTTATAGCAGTAAAGATAAATCAAATATATTGTAGAGTCCTGAGGTGGTATAAGCGCACAGTAGACCTATGTTACATTGCCAATGAAGAAACCTTCCTGAGAGGCCAAGCAACTTGCCAAAAGAGAAGATTATCCTGTCAGCCTGGTGTCCTCTTGAGAGGAATGATCAACAAGAGGCCATTTAAGAACTCTGAGTGTAGCGTTTCTAAAGAGGGATGTTTCATCAGAAAGATTTGAATAAACTATATAATGATAATAAAATATCTAACTGGAAATCAGTAATGAGGCTGTCCCAGGTGTGTGATGTGACTTTTTTGGGTATGGTCCTTTCCTAGTTGAATAAATATATTTTATGATTAATTTGTGTCATTTCTCTTTTGTGTGTCTTTGATTTCTTTGTTCAATAATCTACAAAATGAATAGTCATATTTTAATAAAATATATATATTTATTGAATATACTAACTCCTTTTGTAGGGTGATGATGCAGACAGATTACATTTAAGAAAAAGCTAAAATATTATCCCATTGTCAAACTAATACAGACTCACCGAGACATTTGGAAGCATGTTAAAAGCCTGTGGGTCCAGGATTAAGGTGGCTGATTATACATAAAGTGGTTCCCCAAAAAATGGAAAATATCCAATTGTTTGAACTAAAATGTTTTTGTGATGCCAGAATCCAGATGAGAATGATCAAACTGGTTCAAGATAATGCAAAGGTAGCTCAAATAAACACTCATTAAAACCAAGTGTACTGAAAGCAATCTCTGAATTATTACATGTGAAATCTACAAAAAAAAAAGGTACAGAACTAGAAGAGCAAACCAGGTACCTTTGTCGCCAACATGAAACCTTGGCAACAGTTCAAACAATGCAAGATAAAAGAAATAAAGATGATGACTACATTGTAAAAACGCGGCCTGGTTAATTAAGTCAGAATTTCTGCTTCAATATTAATGTAATTAACATTTGATGTAAACATCATGAATGTTTGGGCATGGGTGGATCTAGACAGAGGCTAGTGTCCCTGTAGTATTAGTCCAGACCTGGCCCCTTTTGTGGCCTCTGTGCCAAAGCAAAATGCAAGATAAATGTATGATACATAAATAATGATATGTGCTGATTCATTTCATTTTTTATATTTAGAATTTATTTTTGTTGATTTAAAGCTGAATTTATTGTAGTTTTAGCATCAATCATTGAGATGGGATCGCAGTTTTCATTTGGTAGATCTGAGGTTTCCAGGTTAGAAAATGGCTCTTTGGTTTGCTTAATATATCAAACAGTGAACTCTTGCCCAGTTTTCTGTTTCATTATTTTTTTCTGTGCCCTCATGTAAAAATAATGGGCCCACCCTGGTCCCCTGGTAAATATGGTCAAGAACCACCATGGGGTTCAGGAGATTTTTGGATACCTACTAAAAACTACACCAGAATCTTTCAGAGTATTGTTACTGACCACGTCCATCTATTTATGACCACATATTATTGCTTTATATCATTATGAAGTGTTTTTGTTTTGGCAGTGAGTTCCTCTGCAATCAGCTGTCCTTAATCCAATAGAGCATATTTGGTTTATTGCAGAAGGAGAAATTTAGTAATGTTAAAATATTTAGTAAGATTTTAACATTACTCGATCTATTTATTGGGTAATAGTGAATTCAAAAAGATTATTATTTATTAAAGAATGTGCTTGATTTTTTTTTTTGTGTGTGTGTGTGTTGCAACTTAAAAAAATTGTATCTGATAACCAAAATCTATCACACAAAGAAGACTCACCCAAACTTTGGGAGGTTTAATTGGAGTTCATATATATAATATTGTCTCTACAATATTTCAGTAACATTACTGGCCACATAGCGCCCCCAAAAAGAAAAAACATCAGACAACAGTTGTCGATTATATTGACTTTATATCGAGACTTCAAAAACACAGATTGGTGGAGCTCTTGTACAATACCCTATTTAAACTGACCCAAATAAGGTTTAAGGCTTCCTTGGGAAAATAATACCTAAAAGGGAACCTAATAATGAATTGCAGAAACAGGATTTTGGTGAACTATTTTTTATCCATTCCAACAGTTTTTATAGACTATAGGCTAATTTTAGTCATCTATGTATACATATGAACTATGAACTCATGGTGACTGTAAGGTTAGACTAACTAGCTAACATTTTTTTATTTTTCTGTTATAAACATTAATATCACTTTATGATTGTCCCAGTAAGTATGCAGGGGAATACTTAAGAAAAAAGAAAATAGATATTGTTAAATGTTAATATGTGACGCTCTTATTTTTCACAGGGAATGTTGTGTAGGTTCAGCCAATCAATCACTTGTATGTGATAAGACGTGTGATGTAAGCACGCAAGACGTGCAGTTCGGCTCAGGCAATGATAGAGAGATGCCATGTTTAAGTTCAACTCCGTGATATGAATAAAAGAAGAAAACTGTGAAACTCCGCTCCGCTCATCTTTGTCACGTAGATTAAATCTGCTGCTACCGGATAAAAACCCTCAACAGGTTATGGGCCCAGGGCCGAAGACAGCGGGCGTGAGTAGTCTTAGTTAAACGCGACGTATTACGCGGTAACGTTCAGTTTTTAGAGCTGAGGAAAAGTTTTGGCGGACTCGTGGTGACGATGGCCAGCCGAGCCACTGGAGATCCAGCACCACAGTTGCTGTTCGACGGGTCAGAAGAAAAATACGACCTGTGGGAAACAAGGTTTTTGAGCTGCCTTCACATCCTGAAGCTAAAAGGGACAATTTTAGGAGATGAACCAGAACAACCGAGCGACGACGACCGTCGAAAGAATGCCGACTGCTACGCCGAGCTGGTAAGGCTAATCGACGACAAGAGCCTGTCGCTAATCAGGCATGAGGCGGCTGATGATGGCAGAAAGGCACTGAAGATACTGCGGGAACATTACGCCGGTAAAAGCAAGCCTAGAATTATAAACATGTATACGTCGCTGACAAGATTGCAAATGAATGGAAAAGAGACTGTTACTGATTATCTGATAAGGGCAGAGAGCATTATCACATCGTTAAGTGAAGCAGGGGAAACTCTCAGTGATGGACTGATCGTGGCCATGGTGCTAGGCGGGCTACCAGAGACGTTCAAGCCGTTAGCGGTGCATGTGACACAGAATGAGAACAATGTCACGTTCGCCGACTTCAAGCGAAGGCTGCGCGTTTACGAAGAGTCTGAGAAAATGAAAATGACAGAACAAAATACAGACAATGTGATGAAGACCCATGCGAGATCGGGCAAAGGGCAAAGCAGAACAGAAAATAGCAGAAAAAGTGACGATGGAGACATGACGTGCTACAAGTGTGGAATAAAGGGACACAGAGCGCGAAAATGCTACAAGCGAGTCTGGTGCGGCCATTGCAGAAACGCCACGCACGCGGAGTCCATCTGCAAAAAGAAGCAGGAACGAGATGGCGCCAGAAAATTCACGGAGAAGCAAGATGGAGCTGACGATTCCCTCTTCATGGCCAACAACGTTCAGCGAGAGAGACCACCGGGTAACGTGAACAGGAAGGGGATCATGGTGGACGCGGGGGCGACTTCCCACATCATCAACGATATTAGCAAGTTCGAGAGCTTCGACCATTCATTCCAGCCTAGTACCCATTCGGTGGAATTGGCGGATGGAAGCAAGTGCAACGGGATGGCGCAACGCAGAGGAACGGCGGTGATCCATCTGCTGGACAGCAGAGGACAACAAAGCAGAGCGCAGCTACGGGATGCGCTCTACATGCCAACATATCCACAAGACATCTTTTCGGTGTCGAGAGCAGTCAACGGAGGTGCGACGGTGGTCTTCGAAAAGGGGGACAGTCGAATAATCGACAGTGACGGTAAAAGTTTCGACATACATGAGAACGGTAACCTGTATTACTTACCTACTGTTGAAAAGGATGCTGACCAGCTAAAAGTGTGTCATGATGTGCAAACCTGGCATCAGATACTGGGTCACTGTAATTATGAAGATGTGAAAAATTTACAAGGTGTGGTGAAAGGCATGGAGATTAAGGGAGGTTCTTCTGGGGTGGATGTGTCATGTGAGGTGTGCACACAGGGAAAATTTACACAGACAAGAAACAGGGAACCAGATAGAAAAGCAAAAAGGCCCCTAGAGCTAGTACACACTGATTTGGCAGGCCCCATGCGTACTCCGAGCATAGAAGAACATTGTTACGTGCAGTCATTTACAGATGATTATTCAGGCATTATGTTTGTGTATTTTCTCAAGTCTAAGAGTGACACAGTTACGGCCACAGAAAAATTCTTGGCGGACATAGCCCCCTACGGGCATGTCAAGTGTATCCGTTCAGATAACGGTACTGAATTTACAGGTCATGAGTTCCAGACACTGTTAAGGAGAAACAGGATTAGACACGAGACGTCTGCGCCTTACTCGCCCCACCAAAACGGCACTGCAGAAAGAGGTTGGAGGACACTCTATGAGATGAGCAGATGCCTACTGATCGAAAGCGGGTTACCTAATAACTTATGGAACTATGCTGTTCAGACCTCAGCTTATGTAAGGAACAGGTGTTACAATAGGCGCACAAAGAAGACAGCATACGAGCTGTTCACAGGCAATGTACCTAACCTGTCCAAATTGCAAAAGTTTGGATCTGCATGTTTTGCTTACAAGCAAGAGAAGGGCAAAATGGAATCGCGCTGTGATGAAGGCGTTTTCCTAGGCTATGACAAAAACAGCCCAGCATATCTAGTATATTACCCAGACACAGAGAGGGTGCAGAAACATAGGTTGGTGAAATTCACAACTAGGACGACAAACGAAAAAGGTATACAAACAGAGCAGTCACATACAGGTTATGGGGACATACATACCATGGTTGACAACACTGATGATGAGAGGGTTGATGAGAAACCGAAAAATGCAGGTCAGAGTGTTGAAAGTGGTGGTGTTCGTGCTTCACCTGAAAAGACTGATCGTACCCAGCCAGGTGAAGTCACACAGACTGTTCACAGAAAGAACCCACCAAGAGCTAAGAGGAGGCCGGTTCATCTGCAGGACTATGAAACAGGTGACACAGAGGACAATCTTAACACTTGCATGGACTGTTGTTACAGGGCAGTGTGTGATATACCTCATACTTACCAGGACGCCATTACCTCATCTAAAGCAAGGCAGTGGAAAGCTGCAATGAAAGAAAAGATGCAATCTCTCGAGGAGAACAAAGCGTTCACCCTGACCCAGCTGCCACCGGGCAAACAGACAGTGGGGGGTAGATGGGTCTATGCGTTGAAAAACGAAATTGATGGGTCTGAAAAGTACAAAGCAAGGTACGTAGCAAAAGGCTATAATCAGAAACCAGGTA